ATTTGGATATGTTTCACTGTCTGTCTTGATAATGATATGAAAGGCTTATCTTAGCATGAGAAAGCTTCCATGAAATTTATAGCCTTGCAGTACAAATGGTTTTTTCAAAATTCCCAAATATATCATATGTACACCAGTCAATATAATAGTGAAGTCATTCAATTTTGAAGTTCTAAATTTGGATATGTTTCACTGTCTGTCTTGATAATGATATGAAAGGCTTATCTTAGCATGAGAAAGCTTCCATGAAATTTATAGCCTTGCAGTACAAATGGTTTTTTCAAAATTCCCAAATATATCATATGTACACCAGTCAATATAATAGTGAAGTCATTCAATTTTGAAGTTCTAAATTTGGATATGTTTCACTGTCTGTCTTGATAATGATATGAAAGGCTTATCTTAGCATGAGAAAGCTTCCATGAAATTTATAGCCTTGCAGTACAAATGGTTTTTTCAAAATTCCCAAATATATCATATGTACACCAGTCAATATAATAGTGAAGTCATTCAATTTTGAAGTTCTAAATTTGGATATGTTTCACTGTCTGTCTTGATAATGATATGAAAGGCTTATCTTAGCATGAGAAAGCTTCCATGAAATTTATAGCCTTGCAGTACAAATGGTTTTTTCAAAATTCCCAAATATATCATATGTACACCAGTCAATATAATAGTGAAGTCATTCAATTTTGAAGTTCTAAATTTGGATATGTTTCACTGTCTGTCTTGATAATGATATGAAAGGCTTATCTTAGCATGAGAAAGCTTCCATGAAATTTATAGCCTTGCAGTACAAATGTTTTTTTAAAAATTGCCAAAATAGTTTCAAAATTTCTAGTCTTATGGTTCCAATGGTTCTCCTTATATAGTCATTATGTCTGTTGCTGACATGCGAAACAAGGAGTTGGAGGATCGTGTTAATGACCTTGAAGGTTACCTCCTTGGGATCAAGGATGGGGAAGGACCACAGAGACGTTGGTTGGCGTATGAGAGTGGTGGGAAGGCAAGAAGAGACCTGGACATCCAATGGGCGTGTTCACGGATGAGCAGCATGAGTTGGTATCTGACACACTAATGGGGTTGTTTGGTAGGTCAGGATTGAATTCTGCGGGATATATATCCAAGGTCCTGCTGGCGGAAGCTTTGATAAAGATCTACTATATGCAGTATGCGGATTGCGGATATGAGGAGGCGGAGTCTGCCCTTTATACTATCAACCTCTCAAAGGTTAGTTACATGTGGTAATTTCATAATTGGTAATTTCATAATTGGTGTATAGACGAGTAGCTCAAAATAATGTGTTTTTAAACATTGTATTTTTAGGACCCATCTCTGAGCCATTCTGCTAGATCTCCTTCATGTCCATGTGATACCGCCGACAGATGGCTCACAGGGGAGAAAGGTATTATTGAAAATCTTAATTACATTTTGTTTACTTCCGGCAACGAGGAAAATCCATTATAATTAGAAGAAATGTCCTCATGTATTTTTAATCTTTCCAGAGAAAACGTGTGATTGAAGAGGAGGAAGAGGACGACCAGTAGAAAGAAGAGGATGAGGAGAAAGAGGAAGAAGAAGGTGATAAAGAGGAGGAAAGAAAAGGGAAAAAGGTTTGAACTCAGACGTACTTTTACATCGATCAGAATATCATTATTTACCCACAGCCTTTCTTTACATAGGAGATAAGAAGATTGCTAAAGTGCCCCTTCTGTGAAAAGCAATACAAGTAATTAACACAGCACCTAATGTTCTCATGTTTTGTTAATCTTTCGGAGAAAGAAAGAGAAAACGTACGGAAGAAGACGAGGAAGAGGAGAAGGAGGATGAAAAAGGTTTGAACTTGTTATCTCAGACGTACTTCTTACATCAATCAGAATATCATTATTTACACACAGCCTTTCTTTATATAGGAGATAAGAAGATTGAGAAAATGTCCGTTATGTGAAAAGAGTTGCAAGTATCTAACAGAGCACTTGAAGACTGTACATGAGAAGACGAGGAAGGAAGCACTGGAGATTTCAGCACTGAATCGAGCTGTACAGAAAGGAGTGGTACAACAGAAGAGAACTCCTCTCCCTTGCCGAGTCCAGGGTTGCTCAATGCTAGTAGCAAGAGTGGACCTTCACTTGTGAAGGGTGCACAAGCTAAATAAAGAGGATCCGGAATACCGCAGGTTAGCTGGTTGAAAATATTTTCTTTCTTTCTTGTTGTCATACACAAGTACATCCCCCTAACCCAAAACACTAACTCATTCCTACTTACCCCAAAACACTCATTCCTTCCACTCTTTTGTCAGGTACAACAATGAAATATCATTGGCGAGGGCAAAGGCGAGGCACGCCGATGCCATTGCCAAGAAGAAAACCACCACTAAGAAGAAGAAAAAGATCGAGAGCCAGGGTGCAGACCCATCAGTGCACAGGGAGGACGTCACGAAGCACCATGAGGGCAACCGTCATCATCCTCCTCGGAATCCGAATTGGATGAAACTCTGCTGGGCATCATGCTGGCAGAACCACACCGACCAAAAGAAGACCCGGATCTGTCGACAAGGAAAGAGATCGAGAGCCTCGCTGTCCTTCAATTGTTTAAACATCATTTGAAGGACTTTGAGGGGGGCTCGAGAAAACAAGATGTTGCAAAAGACCATGCAAGGCGGGTGTGTCGCTTATTATTTGAAATTGAGGACTCCCCAACCAGTGTCAAACCCTTTGGGACAGCAAGAAACTGAACATTCTGCAGAACAATTTTTTCAAGGGGAATGACTTATTAGAGGACGAAAAAAGACAGCTGCAGACGCTGAAACAAACACTCAACTTTGACAAGGCTCGACAGCTGACCAAAGGCGTTGACGGATGCCATGAACCAGAGAAAGTCGGAAATTCGCAGAAGGGACTTGGACGAGAAACTCGGTACCGACGATTTTGAAGCATTCTTCAATGGCCCGCGAGCAAAGGAGATAAAGGAAATGTTTAAAAACGCTGCAAAGGACGGAAACCCAATGGTAAGTGTCACCGATTTTACGCGATGAGGGACTACCTTCTGCTACGATTGCAAGCGGCCAGCAGTGCAGGGCCACATCAAACCTTACCATTTACGAATTTGCAAATGGTACCTGGAAGGGGTCGGAAGAAGAACGTTTCTTTGTGACCAGAACCCTCCGCCACAAAACGTCGTCCGGAGGGCCAGCAAAACTGCTGTGGGATGCTGAGCTCTCAAAGCTGAGAGGTACCCATGAGAATGCAAGTTCAGTGGTACCAGCAGCAGTCTGTTCTCGCCATGCCGCTGTTCTTTATCTCGTCAAAAGGCAATCCCCTGGACGAGTCGCAGATGGGGAAACAGGTGGCCCCTCATCTCAAGGGGACACTGAAGAGTTCCCGTCTGCGTAAGAGCATTGTGAGCCTGCAGCGGGAGCAGAGCAGTGCTGCTGGTTCAAAGGCACAACTGGCGAAGCAAATGGGGCACTCATTGGAAACTATCACATCGAAACAGAAGCGGAAGGTGATGCGAGAGTTCAAAAGTTAATTGATCAGCTGACCCATGGAACTGTGCCACCACTGGTCGACGTGCGGTTACTACCAACAGACGAACCCCACATGACAACCAGAAATCCAGAGCCAGAGCAGGGTGACGGCGGTGAAGAAACGGTTGAGGGCAGTAAAGGCAAGGGTGGTAAAGACAAGGGCGATGGTGGATAAGGCGAGGGCAGTGAAAAAAAGGCAATAGTGGTGATGAGGAGAGTGATGTCAGTCTGACCAACCAGCTGTCAATTAGAGAGAGGCATGAGCTCCTGCATCTGTTTGGGGAGAATTTAGAGGCAGGATGAATAATTTTAAAGCCAATCATACAAGCGAGGATGCTTAAGAACAACTTATTGAAAGACATCAACCCCGACATCACTGTAAAATTCCTCGAGAAGAAGAAAGCCATTCCAGTGTCGAGAAGGCAAGAGCGTGGGTTGGGTCAGCAGACTTTACTAGACAGGCATCCAGCAGCTCTGGAACGTCTGGCAGATTGTTTACGGGGCTGCAGACAATGGTGATAGAACATGTGAAATCTTTACCACCGAATGCCAGTGGGCAAAAATGCCTTGACACTATTGCGAAAGATACAAAATGTCAAGAACAACACATAACGAAACGCTTCACAACGCAGCAGTTAAAGGACAAAGTGAAGACAAATTAGGCGGAAAGCTGCCCGGGAGGCAAGAAAATGCCGTTAATTTGTAAATATGTATATATCTATATTAGTTTAGGGATGGATATAAGGGTTTTGGTTAGGGTTAAGGTTGCACATTATGAAATTACATTATTAGTTTAGGGTTAGCGTTAGGGATGGGTATAAGGGTTTTGGTATTAAAGTTAAGGTTGCATATTATGAATTTACATTATTAGTTTAGGGTTAGCATTAGGGATGGGTATAAGGGTTTTGGTATTAAAGTTAAGGTTGCACATTATGAATTTACATTATTAGTTTAGGGTTAGCGTTAGGTAAAGTTTGGATCAAAATATTACATGTTCAAAATATTGTATGTCATGTTTATTGTTTTGTGTCAATTGAATCTTTCTGGACGCTTTTCACGTGAAATACCTACACTGATTTTCTTGAAGATATGTTAACAAAAAATGTTTCCCCTTGTTCATGGAACATTTCTTGTTAAAAATTAACTAATACGATTGATTTCAAGATGGCGGCTTCACACGTGTTCAGCGAAGCTAACGATTTTTACTAAATATTTTCTTGATTTTATGGTAGAGAACCGCTAGACAAACCGTGAATCGTTTTCTAAACTCCAAAAGCACACTTGGATCTACTTTTCTTAGTAAAACAAAAAGGAAAACAGGATTTATTTTAAAATTTTGATCGAGCGCATTACCCACAAAGCAAAATAACATGGACGCTATTACATTCAAACGTGAATGATACGAGATAAAGAGCTTCACCACGAATAACTACAAGAAAGTTCCACACGAAGAGCTGGATTTTGGAATATACAAAAAACCCAATCTTGTAGCATTTCAAACGACAGAGTTAAGGCTTCCTCTATGGATTGAAGCCGTATACCATCAATACTATCGAAACGAAATCTTCAACGACATAAACAACGAACTTGAGACAAAATGGACAGAGCAAAACGACGCAAGCAACACATCAAAATGCGAAGAAATCTCGATTGAAATCCTTCACAAAAACGAAAACGTATTAACAATCACAATCTTTGTAACCAAAGGAAGAATTCAAATACAAGGCTGGTTCACGAAAGCCTGGGGAAACGACGAATTCGACCACGTACGTGCCATTGTAAACAATGACGAGGAAGCCAACGAAAACACTAAGGTATTCTCAAACAGAATCTTAAAGAGAAAAGAAACCTCACAAAGCACAACTTCTACCTCGGATAACAATTCCACCGATGTCAACTTTGAAACGGACAATTTCTCGGGAGAAAAGTCATTCTCGATGCTGAAAAACATTATTGCGAATCTAGAGTCAGAGTTTGTCACATACAAAATAGATGCCAATACTGTTAGAAGAACTATATAAAACATTAGAGAAGAAAGATAACGAAATAGCAATGTTGAAGCAAGAAATAACCAATCTAAAAACAACAAACAACAATCAACAACAAACACTCAGTGATCTCAGTCTGAAACAACTAGAAATAGAAGAAAGCATCAAACATTTACAAAGCGAACACAAAAATGAAAGAGAGAAAAGCAAAAAACTCGCAGTAAAGGAAATAGCAGCAGCTAAAAGTACCTCACCGGACAAGGAAACCCAACCACCACCTACCCACACAATCTTAAATTGTACCATCCCCACAGCAAACCGCTTTGAACCCTTATCCGAAACAAACACCCCACCTACCTCAAATACCCCCACAAAAGAAAACACTTCCCCCAACACACCACCAACAGAAAACCCCATCAACACCCCATCACCAACAGAAGAGCCCACTAACACACAACCTACCAACAAGAAATTGGTCAATGCTGAAACTATAATTCTGTGTGACAGCAATGGCAGAGATCTAAAGCCATCCGTCCTATGCCCGGATACACCAACATATTACATACGATGCCCCACTCTCACAAATGGCATCAACATTATAAACGAAATACAATTTCCAAAAGCCAAGACCTTCATCATCCACTGCGGCACAAATGACCTTGAACAGATAGATGCCAGTCAAATCCTAGTAAAGCTCAAGACCTTGGAAAACCAACTCCACAAGAAATACCCTCAATCCCGAGTGATAATATCACTACTCCTACCACGAGCAGATAAACTCAACG